AACTTGGGAGTTCCTCTTTCTCCAAGAATCGCATAGCAAGTTGCCTGAGTGAATCCAAGGCAAAATTGCTTACATGCACATTGCTGTGACAACAAACCTTTTAAATTGTAAGGGGATTGTGGTGTAAAAGGTCGACTTTCACAAACCTGGTTGAAGTGTTCTCCAAGGATAGCCCACATATTAACCCATTCTAGTCGAATACGGTTCATATTATAATAGCAGATCTCAACCAGCTTTCTAATTGAGAACAGTCTGGGTGTTTCTGAAAGTCCAGATGATTGGATTTCCTCCCATGAGACGTCACTCAATGCCTGGACAAAGTCCACGATCGCTGTCTGAAACATCATCAGAAATTGGGTGCAATTTTAACGATTCGAGTCACTTACTCCCGATAGTTGATTACTCAAGGAGAATACCATATCCGCTGACACTGTAATATGCGTTGAGCGACTCTCATTAGCCAGTTCCTCAGCAGGAAGCTTTTTGGAGCGCCTGAAATGAATCATTTTATCAGCTAAATTGGAAAATCCAAGGAAATGAAAGAAAATTACCCTTTCTTCCCGTCATGTTCCGAGCTACTTCCAATCAATTGCATGTGCTCAAGTTGACTCACGCACATAAGAACGTCTCTCCATGACCCTTTGAGATGATCTCCTTCGCTAAGAGCGACATCCAGAAGCGCTTTTATCGCTTCCATGTTTTTGGTTTTCATTTCCCCTAAATTGTTGAGGAATGTAAACTTGGCCAACGTCGTAACGAAAGCATTCCGCTCTAGTTCCATATCAAAAAATGCGGCAATTCGTATGGAAAGCTTGAATCCTTCCAAGCAAAGGTCTACGACCTCTAGATTATCTGTGCCTTGAAGCGGGCCGGATATACCGGCCAGAAATGACATCCAGGCCACTTCAAACATCGGCCGGACGTGGAAGAAGTGAGAGGCATTAAAGAATTGATCGTTCGGCTTGCCTCTTCTTTGAGCGCGCATCATGGTTTTGAAAAGTGCCTAGTGACATGGTTAATATGACTGAATTCCCGAATTAGGCGCACCGACCTCTGTTCGATTCGCCATCCCGCTGGATTGAGCCAGGTATGCTTCTTTCTGGAAATCTCGCCCAACATTCACCAAAACGCTGGCAAGGCCGACTGCTGGTTGGATTACACCAACCTGTGCCTCTACTTCATCCTTCATCCTGATCTCATTCGACTGGATGTCATCAAATATTACCGATAAGAATTCTTCCGGAAGGTCTGCATCGTCATTGATACCACGATTGTTCCTAATGAAATCCTGTCGGGTCATTCGATGTTTGACCTGGGGATTATGGGCATCCGTGTTCAACATGATTGTCGAATATGCCAACACATACGCAGATGCTAGTATAAAACGTGTTAGATAATGCTACATTACTATCTTATTGGAGTTAATTTTTTACTTACTTGCGTTCGCAAAGGGCGTATCAGCGTTGCTAACCATGTACCGATCAGCAAATTTAAGCATAAATCGATCAATCTTTTGGGCTTCTCCAGGTAGACGAAAGGCTTGAAGGAAGGTCCTCAAGGCGTCAGTGAATGAGAGACCAGAGAGGTTCATCATGTCGACAAACACATGCATAATGGCGATATTGTCCTCATGTCTAAGCCAAGATTTATCAGATCTATAGATAAAACAGCGGGCTCATAGCTGGCACGCACCCTTCACCCAAGTACTCCCCAATCGCCGCTTTGCTTAA